ATTGTTGGGTATGTAGTGTTACTTTACTAGAGATTGTAGGGTATGTAGTGTTGCTTTACTAGAGATTGTTGGGTATGTAGTGTTACTTTACTAGAGATTGTAGGGTATGTAGTGTTGCTTTACTATAGATTGTTGGGTATGTAGTGTTACTTTACTAGAGATTGTTTGGGATGTTATGTTTCTTTGGGTTGCGCTCGGTTGTGTCTGGTAGGTTTTGCTTTTGTCCAAGAAATGTCTATTGTTTCGAAATTGATTGTTCAATGTATCGTGAAAACCCAAAACAACAACTCTTCGAAAATTGTTAACTGAAGCAGTAGTTGACAAAAGGCAATACAATATCCAGGTTGTTGAGTGATGCTCGTTAACGGCACCAGTTAATATTTAATAAGGACATTGTTATCAAATATATGCTGGAGTTGTGACGAGTGATAGGACGACTCTAGTTATTCTAAACTTGGCACATACACTGCTCCGTTCTTAGTTCATTCAATAAAGGGATGGGGTTTCCTCCTGTTTTGGGAACATGATTGCCGTTAAATGCTACACGTTATCCAAAATTCGAGTCTTCAAATTTTCCTAAAATCATTTATAAGAATTCAAAGCATCCGGACTATAGTACTGTATATTTACGGGTGTTAGTTTCAGATGTTGTATGTAGGGGTCTGGTCCTTCCTGACTAGAGGATGAAGCGGTTGATTTCGGATGTTGTGTGTAGAGGTCTGGTACTCCCTGACTAGAGGATAAGGTTGTTGGTTTCCGACGTTGTGTGTAGGGGTCTGGTACTCCCTGACTAGAGGATAAGGTTGTTGGTTTCCGACGTTGTGTGTAGGGGTCTGGTACTCCCTGACTAGAGGACAAGGTTGTTGGTTTCCGACGTTGTGTGTAGGGGTCTGGTACTCCCTGACTAGAGGACAAGGTTGTTGGTTTCCGATGTTGTGTGTAGGGGTCTGGTCCTCCTTGAATAAAGGATGTGGTGTTTGTTTTCGGATGTTGTGTGTAGGGGTCAGGTCCTCCCTGGTTCGAGGATGAGGTGGTTGGTTTCGGATGTTGTGTGTAGGGCTACGATCTCCCTGACGAGAGGATTCGGTAAAGTTTATGTCTTGGGTAGATACCCGAGTGTTTAACCCGGTTTGGCCCACGAGGTCAAACATATCTGCCAAGCTGGCCTGATCAATGAGTCTTGAATAACATTGTTTCTGATACAACTTCCCTAAAATACACTTACCGACAGAATAGCACTCTAGATGCTGATAGGACGAGTCGGCGTCGTGCTAAAAAGCTTTGTAAGTGTGTAATATTCCGTGTGTAGTTTATAAGGCTGGGTGCTGGTAATTTGGCAGATCCTTGTCATGTTGGAAACGTAATTTTTTAAGTTAAAAAAACAACATCCGAATATCTTTAAAGCAGTTCCTATAAAATTTTACCTTATGGATGCTTTCTTTCTTGATTGAATCAAAATTATTTACATTCTATGTTTAACTGGAAATATATGTTTATCTCTATTATACATTTATCTAGAAATTGTAAATAATTGCACCTTAACAATACACTGACTGTAAAATAACACATACACGATATATTGTTGAAAGCACATACATTACATTCCATAATAACATACATACGGTATATTGTATATAACACACATACAATACATTGAATAATAACATACATACGGTATATTGTATATAACATACATACAATACATTGAATAGCAATACATATATGACACATCGTATACGACATACATTACATTGTATAATAACATATACATTACATTGTATAATAACATACATACGGTATAGTGTATATAACACACATACAATACATTGAATAGCAATACATACAATACGGTATATTGTATAAAAACACATATACAATACATATATGACACATCGTATACCACATATACATTACATTGTATAATAACATACATACGGTATATTGTATATAACACACATACAATACATTGAATAACAATACATATATACCACATCGTATACCACATATACATTGCATTGTATAATAATATACATACGGTGTATTGTATATAACACACATACAATACATTGAATTAACAATACATATAAGATACATTGTATACAACATACGTTACATTGTATAATAACATATACATTACATTGTATAATAATATACATACGGTGTATTGTATATAACACAAATACAGTACATTGAATAACAATACAAATAAGATACATTGTATAAAAACACATATACAATACATTGTACAAAAACATATACAATTGTACATTAAATTGTATGATAATTTACAAACGGTGCATTGTATAACAACACACATACAATATATTTTATAACAATACACTTTCAATACATTGAATAACAACACACATACGATAAATTTTATAATTAATACATGTCATTATAAGATATATACTAAACAGCGAAAATTAGATATCTACTTTACATTGTATAATAACACATCACATATACAATACACTGTATAAAAACTAACAAATAATACACTTTGTGTTACAACAGAAGGAAACGTTCGTTCCAAGTTGAGCCCCTTCACAGAGTCTAGCGTCTAGTTTACCGAGTTGACCCAAAACACTGAGGGAAACACTTTACCGGGTTGACCCCGAACACTGAGAGAAACACTTTACCGGGTTGACCCCAAACACTGAGGGAAACACCTTACCGAATTGACCCAAACACAAAGGGAAACACTTTACCGGATTGACCCCAAACACTGAGGAAAACACGTTACTGGGTTGACCCGAAACACCGAGGGGAATACTTTACCGTGTTGACCCCAAACACTGAAGGGAATACTTTACCGAGTTGACCCCAAACACTGGGGGGAATGCTTTACCGGATTGAACCCAAACCACCAAGTATATAATAAATGTTCTGTGGTCATAACTACCTGGGTGTGAACTATAAACTCTACGGTATTAAGTTAACAAGGAGTGTTGGTTCGTAAATCTGACAAACTTAAGGCTTTTTCGGGTGTAACATATCCAAACAGGGGTACGTTGTTCTCGCTCTCTCGTCGGTACAGACGATGTAATGGCCATTAGCCTACATACCTCGGTACACGGGTCATCCTCATACCACTGGAAATAACTTCGTTTTCGTGAACAATCACGTTCCTTTTCGTTTGTGATTCAGAAGACTTATTGGCGAAGCTCTTAAAACTAACTCTTCTCCTCAACCTCTTATTGGAATTTGAAACTAAAATCAAAGCATACTTTCAGTACTGTGGATAGTATCGTGTTCTTCATAGAGGGTGGAGACTATGAGGTTTAAAAAAGGTTGTGATCAAAGACAAAATCAGTCCCAACAGTAAAAAGCCCGTCAAGTTGTTATCAACAATTTCAAGTTCTGGAATTTGACCAAATTTGACTGGAAGCATAACTAGGTGGTAGGGATTCAAACCTGTACAAAGGGAGGGACTGAATCCCCGGGGGCTGAGGGGCAAAAAAAAGGTTAATTTGTCATAGTGCTTCAAGTGACGTCTTCTCTGCAACTAAGTGATGGATAATAACCATATTTTATTGGAAGCATTCCCATGTGATCGGGACTCAAAGTTGTACAAATGATAGGGGCTGACCCTCCGTGGGACTGTGTAAAAGAGGCCAAAAAGGGGTAATTTCGCCATATTGCTTCAAATGACAATATTTGATCAGAGAAATTCGCATGTGGTTGAGATTCAGAATTGTACAATTGGAGGTTGACCCCACCCACCCTACCTCACCCCCTGGGCTGAGGGGCGGGACTAAAAAGGGGGAAATTGGCAATATTGCTTTATGTGACTTCTTCTATGGAACTAAGACATGAATATCATCCATATTCGATTGGAAACATTGTCAAGTGGTGAGGATTCAAATTTTTACAAATGGAGGGACTGACTCCCCGGGGCAGGGCAGGATGGGGAAGCTTAATGGGAGAATTTGGCCTTATTGCTGACCCCCCCCCCNAAAAAATAATTCTTAACTTGAACATTGTCGATATTCCCAACACATAACCATGTATATATTTTTTTAGTTTCGAGAGACAAATTCACATATGTTTTCAAGATGGCTCCCTGATCTTGCCCAACCCTTGGACACTTAGTCTCGGAGTCAGAACTTTGAAACAGTGGAGATCCTAAACACATAGCTATATATACCATTGCTGAACACAAAGATCCAGGTGAGCGATACAGACCCTCTGGGCCTATTGTTAAGGACTTTGGTTTGCCCCGACAGGGACCAGAACCCATTACCTTCCTTATCCGTGCGAACGTTTAGCATTAAAGCGAAATGGGAATTGATGCGAGGGAGGCATTAGAAAGTATGAAAATCAAGAATAGAAATGTCAAGAAAGAGAGGATAGAAAAATAAAAGATCCCAACTGTCATATTCGAGTGCGCCATTCGTTACGAAATCGTTTAAAAGGCACAAAAATATTTCAAGCAAGCAGACCTTGTTTTAGCGTGAATGAGAAGGTACCCTTGCGAGTGTTTAGTTCGATGTCACAGTTCAAATTCTTACAAGTTCTTATTGTCGACAGTTTTGAAAAAATAGCGATGCAATCATTTTCTAAGATAACACCTACAAGAGATATATCAATAATTTACATCACAGAACATTAGAGTTTTTTTAACATGTAGCGGTCCACAGCAGCACAAACCGTAGTCTGTCGTGTGACGTTGGGGTACGATAAATGAACGTTAGATTGACCTCTGACCCGCACCAGATCTACGGCTTTAGCGAAAACATGTACGCGGGATTACATTTGACAGGTAAACACGTGGAGCCGAGTCGATTTAACACGTAAGCGACATTAGTCGTTAAATCCGATATGTCAGCTCCATATCGTCACTGGAGGGGTCCCATCATATGTGTCTCAGCAAGGAAAATTAATTACAGATTATGGTTAAGTTCGGTTAAATGCTTGACGTAAGCTCAATAGTGGGAGGTTAGAGGCCATCGTTTGTCACTCTGTCCTGACGCGAACCAAATACCTACCCTGATGGGGTTTATAGAGAAAACAAAGACAACCAGTCCTGGGTAGCATGTCCACACTTACTAGCCATTGTTCCAAGATATAACGCACTTCCGCAACATTTAAAACTGATTAGAGACAGGTTAAAATGTTATATTCTAAACAGGAAACACACAAAACACGATAATATTCACTAGTGTGAAATGATGCAGCTTAGACCTACATACACATGTGTAAATCGTACATACCCGAGTTTGTGATGTACAGCTTACGCTTACACACACAAGGGGTGTTATCCGTACATACATTTTGTACGTGAGTGTGAAATGTGTTGCTTACTCTTACATACACGGGTGTGCGATGTGTAGCTTACTCTTACATACACGGGTGTGTAATGTGTAACTTACTCGTATATACACGGGTGTGTAATGTGTAGCTTACTCTTACATACACGGGTGTGTAATGTGTAGCTTACCCTTACATACACGGGTGTGTAATGTGTAGCTTACTCTTACATACACGGTGTGTAATGTGTAGCTTACTCTTACATACACGGGTGTGTTATGTGTAACTTACTCGTATATACACGGTGTGTAATGTGTAACTTACTCGTATATACACGGTGTGTAATGTGTAACTTACTCGTATATACACGGTGTGTAATGTGTAACTTACTCGTATATACACGATTGTGGAATGTGTAACTTACTCGTACATACACGGTGTGTAATGTGTAACTTACTCGTACAAACACGGGTGTATAATGTGTAACTTACTCGTACATACACGGGTGTATAATGTGTAACTTACTAGTACATACACGGTGTGTAATGTGTAGCTTACTCGTACAAACACGGGTGTGTAATGTGTAGCTTTCTCGTACATACACGGTGTGTAATGTGTAACTTACTCGTACATACACGGTTTGTAATGTGTAACTTACTCGTACATTCACGGTGTGTAATGTGTAGCTTACTCGTATATACACGGTGTGTAATGTGTAACCTACTCGTACAAACACGGGTGTGGAATGTGTAACTTACTCGTACATACACGGGTGTGTAATGTGTAACTTACTCGTATATACACGGGTGTGTAATGTGTAACTTACTCGTACATTCACGGTGTGTAATGTGTAACTTACTCGTATATACACGGGTGTGTAATGTGTAACTTACTCGTA